CTGAGGTCCCTATGGTCCTCAGATTCTTAAAGATAGTAAAAGACTTGCCTGCAACCACACCTGTCATATGTAAACCAACCAATCCAGAGCCCACATCCCAACTGCCTCATTTATTGGGCACTCACAGGGCTCTCACACTCTAGACCATTGTCCACCTATCTTAATTACCCCAGAGCCAGATACCAGACAACTTAGGACAGCCCCTATGTTCCAGAGTCCACTGTAACTATTCAAACTAGCCAGTCCTAAGACTTCTCACCTCACCTTGCCCATTTCTTCCCACAAAATCCACAATGAAGGCTCTTGCCCATGTTTTTCCCTTGCTCCCTCTGCCTTCTGACTAGCTCTGGTATGTCGTTATGTGGCCTTGCATGGCATGCCTTACCTCTTGTTTCTGGGGAATCTGTAAGTATAAAAACTTCTTCCTTCATGACAGTCATTTGCAAGTCTTAACACACCTGATTAAAACAAATCCTAAGTATACTTATAACATTTACACTGGTTGATTTATGAATGTTAAACCACTATGACATTCATGGAATTAATACAACATTTTGTTCTGTAATATTCTTTTTATATATGGCAGGACTAAATTAGCTAATATGTTGCTGTCTAAGATTTTTGCATTTATATTTGTGTGAGAGGTCAGACTGTAATGTTCCCTTCTTGTAACATCCTTGTCAAATTTTGTGTTAAAGATTATGATGTCCTCATTGAATGAGTGGGAAGTGTCTCCCCTCCCCTCCCCCTCTCCCCCTTTTTTTATTCTCTGGAAGACTTATTTATTCCTTAAATGTTTGGTAAAATGTATTACTGAAGCCATCTGGTCTAGAATTTTTTTTCTGTAACTTTAAAAAATTTTTTAATTTTTAAAATTTTACTTTTTAAAATTTGACATAATGTTGTATATATTTATCATGTAAAAAATAATTTTTTGAGGTACGTATACATTGTGAAATGGTTAACTCTAGCTAATAAATTTACTACCTCACACAGTTATCAGTTTTGTGGTATAAGCACTTAACATCCACTCTCTTTGCAGTGTTCAAGAATATAATATATTACCATTAACTAAAGTCCCCTTGCTCCTGTATAGTCCCCCTGCTGATCTTTTGAATTTATTCCTTCTACCTAACTGTAATTATGAATCCTTTGACCAACCTCTCTCCATATTCCCTTCCCCTACCTAGCCCAGGCTCTGGTAACTACTCTTCTACTCCTATGAGATCAACTTTTTTAGATTCCACATATGAATGAGATCATGTGGTATTTGTCCTTCTGTGCCTGACTTATTTCACTTAACATAATATCTTCCAAGTTCATTCATCTCAGAAATGACAATGTTTCTTTCTTTTAAAAGGTTAAATAGTATTTCATTGTGTGTACGTACCTCTGGGATTTCCGATAGGCTTTTTGTTGTTGTTGTTGTGATTTTAATCTATTAAATTTCTAATAATGGTCACTTATTATTTTACTCATTTTGTTGAACTATTTCTGTTGTTTTTTGTTTTTTGTTTTTTTAAAAGATGACCGGTAAGGGGATCTTAACCCTTGAATTCGTGTTATCAGCACCACGCTCTAGCAAGTGAGCCACAGGCCGGCCCTTTTAGGTTTAAATCCATAATCTTACTATTTGGTTTTTACTAGTCCCACTTGTCTCTCACCCTGTCTTTTATTTGCGGGCAAGGGTGGGTAATAAAGTAGCATTTATCATTCATTTCTTTTTCTCCAGTAGCATATCAGTCATTCTGTACTCCTTTTTAAGTGGTTACCTAGAAATTACACGTGCTTGATCTACCAAAGTCTCACATAACCAAGTGTTTTTGCTACTTCCTGACTAACAATGAGCACCTTAGAACCCTTTCTTTCCAATAACTTCACCACTCTGCCTTCTTTGCCATTTTTTTGTACAGTTCAATTCTACATATATTTTAAACTCCACTCAATCTTCTTAACGTTTTATAATCAGTATTCAATTACTTTTTTTAATGAAACAGTTGATTGTACACACCTGTGATGTACAGAGTTGAATACCAATAACTATGTGCAATATGGGATGCTGAAACCAGGATAATTAGTATCCTCAAAACTATACAATGTAATCATTTTCCATGGCCCATTTGCCCTTTCCATTGTTCTTTAGGCCACTTTGAATTCCCATGCTTCTGTCTGGGATCATTTTTCCTTGGTTTCTGCTTGTAGAATTCCTTTTAGTGTTTTGTGTTCTGTTTTTTGTTGTGGTTCATTTTTCTTTTTTGTGTTTTTGTTTTGTTTAGCTTTGATGCAAACATTTTGACAGAAAATTCTCTTTGCATAAAATCATCTTATTTTGCCTTCATTCTTTTTTTTTTTTTTCTTTTTTGTCTTTTTTATTGACCGGTAACGGGATCGCAACCCTCGGTGTCGCGCCCGTACCGGGGAGGGGACCGGCAACGGGATCGCAACCCTC